GGCCGTGGTGCCGGGGAGGCTGCGGGATGGGGCTGCCCTTGCCCCCCGCCAGCTCTGTGGGTCTGGGACCTCGCCAGCTGGGCTGGAGGCTGTGGGGACCACCCTTCACCTGGAGGTTTGGGTGCCGGGCAAGGTGAGGCAGGGGCAGCCGCCCTCCTCCTAGGGGGATTTGTGAGGCGCTAATGGCAGCAGAGATGGGAGCAGGGCTCTGAGGCTCCCCCCGGGTGGCAGGAGGGAGGTGTGATGGCTGAGCTTCCCTGCTTTCTCTGCTGCTGGAGATGGGTGCAGGGCCAGGCAGTGACCAGGGAGGACAACAGTGTCCCCCAGCCCCGATCTCACCCCACATCCAGGCTGAGCTGCGGAGACTACACAGGAGCATTGTGGCCGGGGTGTCCCAGGGATGGCACAGGAACAGGGACAAGCAGGCACACATGGGCGGGAGGGATCTTCATCCACCTGGCGCAGGCAGGGAGCAGAGGCTTGGGGTATGCCTCGGCAGGCAGGCGGGCAGCCCCAGGCTCGCTCTGTCTGCATGAGGCCACGTTTCTACCTCCTGTTTCCACCTTCACATCTCTGCCTTCAAAGTGCCACTGAAGCCTGACCTCCTCCAAGCCGTGCCCAGTGCTTGGTGCAGCTCAGTGTAAGGTCTGCGCATGGCCCGTAAGGCCAAGCCCTGGGGCCAAGACACCTCGGCTGGAGGAGGAGCAGCAGAAACCGGTTGTGTTGCATGGAGTTAACCTGCTCCTGAGGAAATAGGGGCTTGTCTGAAAGCTTTCTCCAGTGCACATGCCGCACCTCTCACTGCGGGGGCTGGTGCCTGGATCTTGCCAGGCCTTGCGATGGAGAGCGTCCCACCTCAAGGACCTGACTCACAAAAGGCCAGCACAGTGCCAGCTCATCCCTCCCACCATCCCCTTCAGCAGTCATTGCGCTGCCCTGGGCTGTGTCTCTGGGCTCTGGATGGAGCCAGGAGTCCCCCTGCCTCCATGTCCTTGTCACCATGGGCCAGGCATCCTCCATGTGCTGCCCGCTCTGCTCTGGCAGCGGCTGGCACAGAGGGGCAGGGGAAGATGCAATGCTTTGGGTCGTGCAGGGTAAAAAGTCGGTTGTTCCCAGAGGGGTAGGTGTGTTAAAACCACCCGCAGGACTGATCTTGCTGCTGCCCAGCCATGCGAGGTGTCCCTGTCGGCTGCCCAAAGCACATGAGTTGGGCTGCGGGGCAGGAGCTAAAGCCGGCGTGCCCGCGGGGACACAGCCCCATTTCTGCACACCCTGGCGCCATACCGAGCTGCTGGGGGGGGAATGGTTTCGGGCACACTGTGCCCTCAGGAGCTGCCAAGACTGACCCACAGCACCAGGGAGATTTTAGGAGGTGGTGTCCCACCAGGGGTTTGCTGGTTGTCGCTGTCTGATCCTGTTGGGGTTGACAGGAGTTACAGCCCTGGCTGCAGGGATGAGGCGGCGTTTTTCTGGCTGACAAGCAAGGAGAGATTGGCCACTTGTGCCTTGAAATCCACCCAAAAAAACAGTGTGCTGTGGCCACCTGGAGCTGGGTTCATAAGATCTCCCCAGTGGAGAACTACAAGGCTTCTTCCCCCATCCCTCGGAGCCCAGCCCTGCAGCCTTTGTAAACAAGCCCATAATTTTTATTTTATATTTTTAAATGCCTGGATATGGCAGTGCCCCATGAACCTGTGGGGCTTTTTAGGATAACACCAGCAAAAGCTGAATCGAGTTTGATTTAGGCTGATCAGTCAGTGCTGTTCCCAAGCTGATCATATTGTCGTACACCAAAAAAATGTTAGTGGGCATTTATTAATATTCATTGCAATAGTCTAGGGAGTCAGAGCAAGCTATCCGTATGCCAGTCTAGGGGGTGAAATAGCAGAAACACAGAGCACAGCCCAAGGACAGCTGTAATAGCTGACCAGAAATATTTGCCTTCAGGTTTCGATGCTGAGCTCCGTACATGGTCCAGCCACCTGGTCACTGCCGGGCACCATGGTGCCATCGCCCCATGGGGATGCATGTGGAACTGGGGAGCTGAGAGCGTCCCAGCTGGAGCTCACTGCTGCCATGTCCTGCAGGCAGACCCTTGCTGTGGGGCAGCGGGTGCAGTGCCCCGCGTGACTCCCTGCAGCACATCCCAGGGCATGAGGCACCAGCCATGGGTGCAAGGCAAGGGAACCGTCGGTGCTTGCTCCCTTGAAGGCAGCTTTCTGCCCTGTGCAGCTGTGCTGAGTGGGAACACCTTCCTCGTGCCATGTGCAGGGTTACGGGGCCAGGACAGCAAGGCCAGGCAGCTCCACAGGGCTCCCCAAAACACCATGCAACCCTGCCCTGGGGGACAGCCCTTACCGGGCTCCCAGGGCCTGTCTCCCTCTGAGCTATTAACCTGCCTGGAGCCCAGGCAGATAAATGCCAATAAAGCTGTATACCAGCTTCTGAGCAAGCCTTAGTGTTACCCAGCACCTGGGAGCCTCTGTGATGGCACCAGCTGTGTGTGGGAAGGACCCCCCCTTGCACCCCAGGTACAGCTGCAGTTAACACCGAGGTCGCATTCACCATCACTGCTTCCCTTCAGCGTTTACAAACTGCGTGGGGTTTTTTTACAGGTTATGAGGAACAAGGCAGCATTGCTACACACGGAGCTGTTCTGACATGGTAATTCAGACTAGGTTCTTGCGAAGACGCTTGGAAACTGGACTGGACTAAGCCATGAAACACACTAAGGTAAGTCTGGCCATGTGTGGCATTATTTTTGGAATAGATCCCCTCCTCCACTTTTATTTCACACGCTACTTTGCTTTGCAGTACTCTGCATCCAGATAAGTTCTTATGTACAATATAGTGCTCAGTTAAACAAACCAATCTGTCACGTACCTATATTTACAGATTTATAAAAACTAATGTTGGCTTTTATGGTAACACAAAATCTGACTTTTCTTTGGTCTGAACACTGCTGCAGATTACCCAGTTGCTACCAAGGTGTAGGAAACTTTGCAGAACAGCTAGTTTTATCTATTATAATAGGACATTTAATCAAGCATTTGAACTAGGTGCCGCTGCTTCCTGTTGCTATAGTCAGCTAACATCTTTTAATTCATTTAGATTTAAAAATGAAAAACCCAACTTGATTTAAATTGTTGTGAACTAGATCTAGTCAGGGCAAGAAATACATACTTAATAATGTATTGGACCAGATTCTCTGTGTTGGAGTTGTCTCAGCTGTTGACTGCGTAACTAGAGTGTATTGAAAGTATCTCAGGGACTGCTAGCGTGACAAACTACATACTCCCCTTTCTGAGTGGGTCCGTGAGCGAGTCCTGAGCCGAACTAGGCAGATCTCTAATGACAGGAATGAAAAACACTGCCTGAACATGGGCTGGTCTTCTAAAAGCCAGAAAGGAGGAGTGCTTGTGCTGTGCTGTGAACGCTGCCTCAAGGCTTGAGGTGCGCAGCTGAGGAAGTTGCTGGCAGGTGGTAACTGCTACTTTGGACAACCTGTGCCGAGCTGTGCACCCACCAAATTTTCTTTGTGCCTCACCAAACTGCAAAGATGGTCCTAGCCCCACCTGGCAGCCCCTTCACAGCCCCACGTCAGCTGAAGCCCTGCGTTTTGTCACTCCCAACCTTAACCCTAACTGTAAATCACACTACCCCTGAGTCAGCTTTTGTTCTGGGTGTCACTTGAAGCAGGACTGTCCTTCATCCTTTCTGATGACTGGAGACTAAGAAGTCTGCATCCCAGCAGACCTCACATGGTTCAAAACCTATTTTCAAATTTCAACGTCTTTGACTCCTGCTTGGAAAACACTTCCTAATTTTTATAGAGACCAACCTGCGGTTATTCGGTTCTAGCCCCGAGGCCCTCGCCTGGCTGGACTGTGCTACCGCACTTGGAAAAGGGGTTTGAGTAACAGGGTTGTACCCACTCATTCCTCCTGCCCTTCCCAAGTATTACACACCACCTTATAATTGCTTAACTGAAGAGCCTCTGGACGTAGGCTTCTGAAAACAGGCTTCAGATTAGCAGATGATGAGCAGTGAACAAGACCAGCGCTGCTCAAGTTAACCTGAACATGTGCTTACCCGGCCTGGCATTAAATTGGCACATGACCAACACATCCCAGCCTGCCAGCTCTGGAGCAGAGCTCACTCCGTCCCTTACACCTTATTTTCCCAAAGAAAGGAAGGATACATCCTTAGGCTAAGCAGACCTGAGTTTTCCCAGTCAGGGTTACAAAGCCAGATGGAAAATCTTTATTGATTATAGGAAGCCTTCCATAATAATTGTGGGAGATGAAGCATCTTGTTCATTGCTCACGTTATTTTAGGATACTTGGTAGAGTAAGAACACCCTAGGAAAAGCATTTTAGTTCAAATCTGTAACACGGTATTTAATCCCAAGAAGAGCAACAAAGACATGGGCTATAGAGCACTATTATTACATCACGCAAGAGACACAAAATATTATTTCCCAAACAAGGTACTTTACACACCAATTCTTAATGTCGTCTTTATCCAAGTCCTCAGTGGTCAGTGCATTCAAAACAATTTTTCCTTCTACAACTCCAAATACCGATACTGTTTTGCAGAACAGGTTACATCAGATGTGCAGTTGTATTCTACTTTAAATGATAACCAATTGTACCAGTAGCTTCCAACTATGTATTTGTACTCATTAGTGGTATAATATGCAGGCAGTTTTTGTTTTCAGTAGTTTAAAACAGGGTTGGATTTCATGTTCTTGTATTGGGCATAGCTGTTGGGACAGTGTAATTCTGTACAGCTGCGGCTTTCCGATGTTCAGTAGGAGCTGAGACTTGGAGCTACAGCCAAGTCTGTGCTGGCTACCTTTCCCAGCCTGTCTGCTGGCCAGGGTGAGCAGCAGCACGATCCCCAAGCCTTGCATCCGAGTCGTTCCAGACTGCGTTGGAATGGCATGTCTCTCAGGCTGCTGCATGCTTTGCACACATTTAAAATAACAAAATGAACAACAGGCACGGAGCTTACTTTTATAATGATTTCTTTGTTGTACAGTTGACCTATTGTTCTAATACATTTATGGAAATCTTACACATTTGAAAACTACCAAAATAAAAAGACAGGTATCTAAAGGTGCACTGAACTCAGGAAGGCACCCAGCAAAGATTTTCCCAAAAGTAAATATGCTGGCTGGAACAGCTTGCTCTTAACACTGGGTCTGCCGAGAACTGCAGTTTCAGCAAGGTCTGCAGTGCCGCTGGAGTTATTAAAGTTGGTACCAGAGTATCACTCACAACAGAGAGGTACTCATCCTCCAAGCTGGCTGCAGCACGTTGCCCTTGAATGTTGTCTGTTACTTCTACTTTGTTGGCAGATCTGTGATAGCTCCTGGTAGCTTTCTCCTGTCTCCAAACACCCAGCAGATGTGCAGCGTTTCATTTGAACTGGTTATCAATCAGGGTTCCTTTCATCTTGGCTTTCTTGGCTTCCAACTCAGCCTAATTAAGAAAATTAAGACAGAATTAAATAATGTCTGGATAGGTTTCCTTTCAGTGCTCCAATGAGGTTTGGTCATCTTGTCTGACCACTGCAAGCTTTTCAAACCAGGAGCAGGAGTAGCTCAAGTTCTTTGCTGACTCCCTCCTCCCCTGAGGTACAAAACAAGGACCACCTTTTAAATCATAAAAAGCCCAAGACTAACTGCACAGGAGACAATTTCATACTTTCTATCCTCAGGTGGAAGCTGCACATTTCCCCTCCCCCCCCATCTACTACTCTCCTGTCACAGCAGGTAAGATCAGCTGTGCTGTTCTTGCCATTAATTCTTCAAGTGACCCTTCCGGTAGCAGCTGAGCTGGCAGGTCCTCCACAAGGGCCTTAGCTTGCCCTGATGCCTCATGGCAAAGACCTGCTCTGCCAAGCAGGCTTGAGAGCACAGCACTAGGGGTGCTCTGGTTGGCAAAGCCATGGCCTCGTTTCCCCTTCCCTTGCCCAACAGGTCATGGAATGTCTCCCTGCAAAAGCTCTGCTGGCTGCCCCTCAGTTAGCTCTATAGGTAATCGCATACAATTTTAAGTTCAGGAGGACTTAGAACAACATCTCTATAAAACCTGTAAAGGAAATGTCTGTACCAGGACCTCTCTATACTTGTAGTCCGATCTGCAAGATAGCTTTTGTGTACAAAGCCAACAGATCTCAGGGATTCGCGTTCAACACCAAAGAAAACACTCACCAACTCCTGTAGCCTTCTTTTGCTCATGCCTTTGCGTTCCAGCTGTTTCTCAATCACTTTTGCATTCTGTGCATAGGAGTCTGCAATCTCCCTCTGAAACACATACAACATCATTTTGCAACAGCAAACCCCAAGTAACACCACCTCATCCAAACGGTGAGACGATCACGGGCTCTGATCAGTGTCTTGAGGCAGCTGCCCAGTTCAGATGTGACTGCCTCTAAGGGCAGACAAAACTCACTGCTTCAATCTCCTCCTCCTCTTCATCAATTGTGGAGACGGTGACAGAACTGAACTTGCCCATGTCTTTGGTCCGTTTGGTCATCATCACCTGGGTGAGAAGCAGAGTATTTTGTTAAACCTTGGCAACAGTTGTGCCACTAGGGATCACTTCCCCCTCCAAAGCTTTTAAGGCTTTTCATGCAAGTCATTAAGATTACCTGAACTCCATGGGTGGCAAAGGATAATTATCCCCAGTGATTTCTGGGCTTAGAGCTGTCACGATCAGAAGCAAACTCACTGACATACAATAGATGAGCCAGATTTTGAGAATCACTGTGCAGACTACCAATCTGACCTACTTACAAATGGAAACTTTCTGGTAACCGAGCCTAAACATCAGGCACAGTCTAGATTTCCAAGTTTATTTTGCCTTCCTTTAGTGCTAGGACTCCAAGCCTTCCTCTGTAAAGGAAAACTTAAGGTAGACAGGGAGAAGACACCAAACTCAGTTATTGTTTAGAGGTCCTTTTCTTTCTTTTTTCTCCCCTCTGCCCCCGCCATTAAGTGATTTTACTCACCACACCTTTTTGAAAAGCAGAGATAGCCTTTTTACTTCTCTAAAGCCGATTACCTTTTTGGGAGGTTCTTGTTTCTGAGTATATATGTTTGTTTTCCCAAAACCCTGGCCAAATTTGACCACAGCACCATCAACAATGAACGTCACGGGAGCATTTTTCTGTTGGTGTTGATAAAAGAGCAGCAGTCCACACCTTGAAACAGAAACACACGTAACTGTGAGGAAACCCAGGTTCTGGATTCCTACGGTTACCTCACAAACAGATCCTAAAAGTCACTAAAGAGGCGCCACGGTCACTCACTTGCCACACTTCTTCCTGAACTGCCGCTCTATGCCTTCTGGTCTGGGGGAGAGAGGAAGACCTTGAGAGGAGCGCGCAGACAGCAGGCATCGGTGCCTGGCTGATGGACCCCAGCCGGGTGAGGAGGCAAGGCCAGACCAGGGCAGCCCCTTCCCCGGGCCCTGGAGGGGCTCTCAGAGGGACGAGAAGGGGGACGGGGTGGGGAGAGGCCGGGGCCCGGCCGCGTCCCACCTGCGCAGGAAGACGCTCTCCTCCTCCTCCGCGTTGCAGAACTTGTGGGCGTGCTTGGCGGCGTCCATCACCCGGGCGCGGTCCCGCGGCCGCATCGGCAGCTTCTCCAGCTGGCAGTCTGCGGGGGAGCGGCAGGGCCGGGCT